AAGAAAAGTTTCTATGCAGTTACACCCTTGTGGTTCTTTTGGATAATCTAATACTCTCATAGATAAGAACCCTTGACACATGAGAGAACCAGACCCCATAGGAATAAGAGAAGTGGTTTGAAGTTAGAAGGGAACATGGGTGCATAAGATCCTGAGCTAGGTATGAGCTAATGCAACTTAGTGCTTTATTGCAGGATGATGAGCAGATGTTTAGTAAATAGAAGTTTGCCCTGCCATGTAGGAAGTTCAAAAAGAGATTATTCTTGATAATCTCTTATTAATCTCTTATTATGGACAAAGCCTTATTTTAAATTCTCCTAGGAAGTTAAAAGAAGTGGTAGAAGTTCCTCTTGAACCTGTGGCTAAAATTGCCTTTGACTCAAAGTAATCTGCATACTACTAAGGCACATCTTGGGGTGGACTGTTTTTTTTTGTTTTTGTTTTTGTTTTAATATATTTTATTGATTTTTTTACAGAGAGGAAGGAAGAGAGATAGAGAGTTAGAAACATCGATCAGCTGCCTCCTGCACATCTCTTACTGGGGATGTACCCGAAACCCAGGTACATGCCCTTGACCGGTATCAAACCCGGGACCTTTCAGTCCGCAGGCGACGCTCTATCTACTGAGCCAAACCGGTTTCAGTGGGGTGGACTGTTCTGAACCTTCACTTAATCTAAGGGAAAGTTTTCAGGCTCTGGTAGTTAAGACTTGAATGTCTTTGGGCCAGTAATCACCCCACCATGAGGGATTAGGCAGCTGTGGGCAAACTACGGCCCGCTGGCCGGATTCGGCCCGTTTGAAATGAATAAAACTAAAAAAAAAAAAAAAAAAAAAAAGACCGTATCCTTTTATGTAATGATGTTTACTTTGAATTTATATTAGTTCACACAAACACTCCATCCATACTTTTGTTCCGGCCCTCCGGTCCAGTTTAAGAACCCATTGTGGCCCTCAGTCAAAAAGTTTGCCCACCCCTGGATTAGAGTCTCAGTGTTGCCGGAAAGGGACTGGCCCTGAGTGGTCGCCTCGGGTCAGCCTGTAGTGTGTGGGTTCTTCATTTCGTGGAGGAAGGTTTCACATTTATTAAAGCTGGGGACAGTGAGACAAGGAAGGAACTAGTTTAAAAGAAGCAAGAGGAGAGAGCCTAGGCAGGGATGCTTTGGCTTTCGAGAAACATTATGGAAAAGAAGTGAGCCAGAAGGGGGCTGTTGTGAGCTCACCGGAGAGTCAGAGAACAGGGAGCATTGGGAACAGGTTCAGGGGTTAGCCTGGGATAAGCTACTGCTGCCTATTGCTTCCCTGGTTGTAAGTCTCATGGGGTCTCTTAGAGTTTAGGAGATGTAAACCTGTTGGGGAAAAAAGAGGGGAAGAGAAAGGCATGGGCATGCTCCCCAATTTTTTTTAAATGTATTTGAGTGCTCCTATATTGGGTGCATATATGTTTACCATGGTTATATGCTCTTGTATTGGTAACTTTTAGTATTATGAAAAGGCATCCATTGTCTTTTATGTTCTTCATTTTGTTAGATATGTGTATTGCTACCCCAGCTTGTTTTTCATTTCTATTTGCATGAAAAAAAATTCCCCTCCCTTCACGTTCATTCTGTGTAAGTCTTTTGTTTTAAGATGAGTCTCTTGTAAATAGCATATATATGGGTCATGTTTTCTTATTCATTCAGCAACACACTGTCTTTTGTTTGGAGCATTTTGGCAATCTAGCAGGATAAAAAAATTAACACCCAGAAATTGATGGCATATTTATATACCAATAATGAAACCTCAGAGGATAAATTTTAAAAAAATCTCATTTAACATTGCAAAAAAAAAATTAAGATACTTAGGAATAAACTTAACCAAGGAGGTAAAATGCTTGTACTCAGAAAACCGCAGGAAGTTGAAAAATGAGATAGAGGAAGATATAAACAAGTTAAAGAATATTCTGTGTTCATGGGTTGGTAGAACTAAAATCATTAAAATGTCCATACTACCCAAAACAATCTACAGATTCAGTGTAATCCCTATTAAAATACCAATGGCATACTTCAAAGATCTAGAAAAAACACTCCAAAAATTTATATGAAATCAAAAGTGACCCTGAATTGCCCTAGCAGTCTTCAGAAAGAAGAACAAAGTTGGAGGGATCACAAAACCAGATATCAAAACTATACTACAAAGCCACTGTAATCAATACAGCCTGGCACTGGCACAAGAACAGTTATATAGATCAATGAAACAGAACAGAGAACACAGAAATTGATCCAAGCCATTATGCTTAATTAATATTTGACAAAAATGACAAGAACATACAATGGAGTCAAGACAGTCTCTTCAATAAATGGTGTTAGGAAAATTGAACAGATACATGCAAAAAAATGAAACTAAATCACCAACTTACACCATACACAAAAATAAAACTCAAAATGGATAAAAGACTTAAATGTAAGATGGTAAACCATAAAAATATTAGAAAAATCCATAGGCAGCAAAATATCAGACATATCTTGTAGCTATATGTTATCAACATATCTCCTAGGACAATAGAAACTAAGGAGAAAATAAACAAATAGGAATACATCAAAATAAAAACCTTCTTCACAGCAAAAGAAACCATCAACAAAATGTCAACAAAGCCCACTGCATGGGACAGCTACATGTAAAAAAATTAAACTAGACCACCAAGTTACACCATCCACAGGAATAAATTCAAAATGAAGAAAAGACTTAAATGTAAGGCATGAAACCATAAAAATACTTGAAGGAAACATAGGAAGTAAAATAATAGACATCTCACCTAGCAACATTTTCACTGATATGATGCCTAGTGCAAGGGAAACAAAGGAACAAATTAAAATATGTGACTATATCAAAGTAATAAGCTTCTACACAACAAAATAAATCAGTAGCAAAATGAAAAGGGAACCTACTCTATGGTAGTACATATTTGCCAATGATATATCTGATAAGGGGTTAATATCCAAAATATATCAAATAAATCAACAAAGAGAAAACAACCTAATCAAAAAATAAGCAGAAGACCTAAATAGACTGTTCTCCAAAGCAGACATACAAATGGCCAAGAGACATATTGAAAAATACTCAATGTCACTAATCATCAGAAAGATGCAAATTAAAATGACAATGAGGTACCACCTTATACCTATAAGAATGGCTGCCATTAATAATTCAATAAACAAGTGCTGGCAAGGATATTGAGCAAAAGGTACACTATTGGTGGGGTACAGTCATTATAGATATCAGTATGGAGTTTCCTCAAATAATTAAAAATGGAACTGCCATTTGACCCAGTTATCTTACTTCTAGGAATATATCCTAAGAAGCCTGAAACATCAATCAGAAAGAATGTATCCAAACCTATTTCATAGCAGTGCTATTTATAATAGCTAAGATCTAGAAACAGCCCAAGCACCCATTAGTAGATGAGTGAATAAAAAAAAGCTGTGTTTTATTTACACCATGGAATACTATGCAAAGGTAAAAAACAAGGATCTCTTACCCTTTGAGACACCATCGGGGGACCTGGAGAGTATTCTGCTAAGTAAAATAAGCCAGTCAGAGAAACACAAGTGCCACAAGATCTCACTTATATGTGGAATGTAATGAATAAGATAAATTGATGAACAAAATAGAACTGGAGTCATAGAAGCATGGATTAAACTGTTGAATCTCAGAGGGAAGGTGAGAGTGGGTGAGGGGGCTAGGAAGTCATCAACCAAAGAACTTGTACGCATATATATGCACTAGAGGCCCGGTGCATGAGATTCATGCACTAGGGGGGGAGGGTCCCTCAGCTTGGTCTGCGCCCTCTCACAGTCTGGCACCCCTTGGGGGATGTCCGCTTGCCAGCTTAGGCCCGATCCCTGTGGATCGGGTCTAAGCCAGCACTCAGACATCTCTCTCGCAGCCCTGGGCTCTAGCAGTCTATGACCCCTTGCTCCTTACTGCCTGCCTGCAGGGGGAGCACCACTCAGCCAGAAGCTGGGCTCATGGCTGGCTAGTACAGCAGCAGGCACCTGGGACCCAGGCTTTGCTCCAGCCCTGGCTTCATCCAGAAGGACATCCTGAATGATGTCCAGAAGGACTTCTGATCTAATTATCATATTACCTTTTATTAATATAGATAACCCATGGACACAGACAATAGTGTCATGAAGGCCAAGGGTGGGGAGCGGGGCAGGCTAGCAGGGGTCGATGGGGAAAAAAAAAGGAGACATATGTAATACTTTCAACAATAAAAATTAAATAATAATAATAATAACAACCACCATAATAATAAATGGCATCTAAATTTTTCATGGTAGTAACTATTGTTTCTATATTTAAATTATAAAGTTTTTTCATAAGGTTTTTTGAATGATACATTTGATAGTTATAATCATCCAAAATTAAAAATAGATTCATTATACAAAATCATCAATATCTCTGCTAAAAGCCTCCTGTGTTACACCTGAAAGTCTATGTAATTACATTTTAGGACTCCCGTAGTGTTCTTTCTAAGATCTCTAATTATCATGGATAACTGCTTTTATTTTATAAGTGGAGAAACAAAGGGGACTAAATGACTTATTCATATGCCATCGGTAGGAGAAAAAACTAATTCATGGGTCACTTGACTTCTTTTAAATGTCTTTTGCACTAGACCAAACAACTTGTTAAGTTATCATCCTAAGACACATCTTTCAATTATTATTTTGAAATCATTCTGACATTATTTCAACAATAAAAAGTTTATTATGTACAAAATGAACACCCATGTTTATTTAAAACCAAAGCTCACTTATATAGAAATTCTGAAGTTCAGCCAAATTTTATATTAAATTTATAAAAATAACACCCACATTTTAAATTTATTGAAAAAAAATGACCCAAATGTATTTTGATATAAAATAATTAGAAGATTATATAATGGTGGCATATATAATACAAAATTGATATATATTTACTTTTTTATGACTGATTGCTGTTATAAACTTTTTTGTTTTTTAATCTGGAATGCTTCACAAATTTGCACGCCATCCTTGTGCAGGTGCCATGCTAATCTTCTCTGTATCATTTCAATTTTAGTATATGTGCTGCTGAAATGGAAACTCTTAAAAGCTTTTATTTCATCGAAAATGAATTAAAAATGAAATGTTCATGAAGGATTCTCCTTGAGTCTGCAGGCCGATGCTCTATCCACTGAGCCAAACCGGTTAGGGCACTAAGGATTCTCCTTAATGATACTCCCTATATAGCTTCATAGCTGTGGTTACCAATTAAATTTATTTTAAAAAGTCTTAAGTCCCTGCAGCTATATGCAGCATTCAAAATCTTTGTTTTTATATAAGAAGACATATCTGAGTACAGACAACGATCTTTTTAAGTTTTATGATTTCTCCGAGCATTTGCTTCTATTGGGGCTCTAATGTCTTGAACTGCAAAGAAATCCTAACCTTCAATCTTCCTACTAAGACAAAAATCCAAAATGGCAGAAGATATTTTATAGTTCCTAGGATAACTCTTCAAGACCTTAACTGCTTAAAAATCTATTCTGTAGATAGGGCAACATATGAAAATGCCAGGAAGAGAAACATGACCAATTAAAAAAGGAAAACTAACTCCCAAACACAATTTACAATGAAAAGTAACAGAGAACAGTAGTCATGAAAATGAGAAAAGCATGATAATCTAATTTTCAAATTAAATATATTCAATTACATAATTCGATCTAGCTCATATAATATAGATTTAAACATTTTTATAAAACAAGAGTTGTCATATAATAGCATTTTTCTAGTCTGGATTTCAAAGACAGTTCAGCACTTTATACTGCACAATGCATCCTTAAGAATTATTCTTTTATGACAACAGTAGATGATATAATTTTAAAAAATTGCATGGTGCCCAGTTGGGTGTGGCTCAGTGATTAAGCATCAACCCAGGAACGAAGACGCTACTGGTTCAATTCCCAGTCAGGGTATAGGCCTCGGTTGTGGGCTCAATCCCCAATTAGGGGCGGAAAAAATATATATGTATATATATTTTAAAGCCCGGCCCGCATGGCTCAGTGGATGTGCTTCAGCATATGAACCAGGAGGTCATGGATTGATTCCCGTCAGGGCACATGCACAAATTGCGGGCTCAATTCCCAGTGGGGGTGTGCAGGAGGCAACCAATCAATGATTCTCTCTTATCATTGATGTTTCTGTGTCTCTCTAACTCTTCCTTCTCTCTGAAATATATATATATATATATACATATATATATATATATACACATATATATGTGTGTATATATATATATGTAATTTTTATGTATACCACCCAATAATCTATCTTATTATCTCAGTGCATAGACAATGTCTATATAATTATCACTGAAATACTAATGACAACGAGAGTAAAGTAAAATTTTATATTTTTATGTTTTGAAATTGAAATTTGTTTTACCATATTGAGATTTTTACAAATAACAACAAAAAATGATTATGTAGTGAATCCTAAATATAGATCTGCAACCCTGACATATTTCTCAATTTCAGATTCACAAACTCTTCTTTATATTGGATATTTATGTTAACAGGTATCGTGGACAACTTCTACCATCAAACTTGTTTCTCCCACAATATTTCTCATCTCAGTAAGTGGCAACTTCAATCTGTTAGTTTTTCAGGGAAAATATCTTGTGGTTACCCTTAGCTCCTCTTTCTAGCAAAGCCTCCAAATTGACAAAATCTTGTCAACTTTAAGTTAGAAAAATATTCAAAATCACCACTTTCTCCACCTGTACTGCCAGCATCTTAGTCTAAGCCACCATCATCTCCTGCCTAAGTGTCCTAAATAGTCTTCATGTTCTTAGCCTTGTTCTTTTATGCTCTATAGCCAACAATGCAGCAGAAATAGCCTTTACAAATATAGGTCAGATTTTGGCTTCCTCTGTTTAAACATCATCTGAAATGATTTCTAGTATTTATCAGTATCAAATTTCAAATCCTTATCATAGTACTTCAGAGGTTACCTGTAGTACTCTTGCTTGGATAATTGAATTTGATTGTATTTGAAGTGTGGGAGAAAAACAAGCTTTCCTCTACCCTCAACACTTTTCTGGCTGATCTAATAATCATGTACTGTAGACATAAGACAGATTAGCAGAAGAAAATAACCAAATTTAATACATGTATATGTATGGGAACCCCGCATACATGAGAGAGTCAGAGAACCCACATGCACAAGAGGTTCAGAGATGGACAAGGGAGATTGAGGTATATAAGATGTCCTGAGCTAGGGAGGAGATAATGCATGTGGGGGCTTCAAAGGGTCATTGCAGGATGATAAGAAGCACACATCTTTAGTTAATATGTGACTCAAAAAGATTATGGCTGATATTCTCTTATTATAGTCCCTAATTCAACTTTTTTGGGTGGACGTTACTCTTGAGCCTTTGGCTCAAAACAAGCTACATACCCCAGAGGCACATCTTGGGGTTAGTCATTCTGGGTCCCCAGAGAATTGATAGTGTGGTTATATCTTTATCTCTGTCTTACAGAGAGAGGTAAGATAAAGGCTGAAGAAGTAAGCAGAAATTTTAACAGTAGTTTCAGGAATGTTCCTACACTCATAGCAGGTTTGAGAGCAGTTTCAGATGGCACTCCTATTTTGTCTTTGGTTTTGCCTCATTCAAGTGTTCTGGAATGTGAGTTAGTCACTTAAACTTGGCAGCTGCCTTACACAGTTCCTCTATGGTTATATCTGGACCTCTTGTTATGTAATAACGTTTTAAAAATATATATTTAAAAAATGAGTTAAATTACTATCAAGTTTTTGGTTACATGCAGCTGACCCCAGTCCTTTAATAGTCACACATGGTCTTCAAAGCCCTATCTGCCTCTAATGCCTTGAATAATATATGCCTGTATAAGTCTGCTAGGGCTTCTATAACAAAGTGCCACAAACTCGGTGTCTTAAAACAACAGAAACATGTTGTCCCACAGTTTTGGAGTTTAGAAGATAAAATCAAGGTGGCCACCATTGTCATGTTTCCTCTAAGACTCTGGATAGAAACCTCTCTTGCCACTTTCTAGTGTCTGGTAGTAACCAGAAGTCTTTAATATTCCTTGTTAACAGTTACATCAGTCAAATTTCTGTTTTCCTCATTACATACCCATTTTTATATGGTTTTCCCTCTGTGAATGTCTATGTCCAAATTTCCGTTTTATAAAGACAGCCTTATGGATTAGGACTCACCCTAATGACCTAATTTTACCTTGATCATCTGAAGAGTCTTTTCAGATGTAATGAAACTAAGGATCTCGAGGAGATATAATCCTGGATTATCTGAGTGGGCCCTAAAGCCAATAAAAGTGTGCTTGTATGAAACTCACAAAGGAGAAAATAGAGAAGGCAACGTGAAGGTGGAGGAAGGAGATGAGCGTTATGCTGTCACAAGCCAAGCAATGCCTGGTGCCATTAGCATTTGGAAGGGGCAAAAAGTTTTCTATTAGTGCCTCCAGAGAAAGTGTGACCCTGCTGACAACTTGATCCCTAACTTCTGGACTTTAAAAATATAAGATAATAAATTTCTTTTGTTTTAAGACATCCACTTTGTACAAGTGTTACAGCAACCTTAGGAAACTAATACCAATCGTTTTCATGAACTCTTCTCTTTTTCTAGAATAAATTTTTCTTACATATCTGCTATGTGTTTTGTTGCTTCAGTATATTCCATTCTCATAGGTGCTTATTTTTTTTTTACTACTGTTTTTATTGCCAGACACATTAGGTATATTTTTGATATTTTGTGTTGATTTCTCTCACTAAAATAAAAGAATCTTGAGAGTTGAAAATTCATAATTATTAGTCCTTAGAAGATATCTAAATCAGTCGGAACACAGTAAATATTTGATTGATCTAATGTAACTCATTAGGATCTAACAAGCATTGATTAAACTAGTGAACAAAACTAGAAACAATAAACTGACCTCTACTTTTGTACTTTTAATTAGTCTAATTTTAATCACTAGAAAAGACAAATCATGAGTCTCATAATTATATCTCCCCTTTTCCTGTATGCTATTGCGTATGATATTATTAATAATATGGAATGGGTAGGGAGATAAGAATGCTACAATATATTTATATATTTTCAATTTCCAAGCATCAGTTTATTGAGTTCACTGTTTAGAAAAAAGAAATACTGAATTCAAGCAAATGTATTCTTTTAAAAAGTAGAGCATATGGCCCTTGCCTGGTGGTTCAGTTGGTTGGAGTGTCATCCCATAGACAAAAAGGTGGCAAGTTCAATTCTCATTAAGGGCACATAACTGAGGTGGGAGGTTGAGGTACATACTGGAGGCAACTGGTTGATGTTTCTGTCTCACATCTCTCTCTCTCTCTCAAAATCAATGAAAACTTATTCTCAGGTGAATATTAAAAATAATAAAAAGTGGAGCATATGGAATTTTATATAAAATATGATAATGTTTGTGAAACAAATCAGCTCTTTTTTATTTAAATCTACACTAATGAAAGAGAAAGATGCAAATTGTTAATACCTTCGCAACACCCACCAGCCAATCAGGATTGAGTATGAAAATTAACCCAACAAAGATGGTGGGTTAATTTGCATATGCAGGCACTGAGTGGCCGTGGGCGTTCCGCACCACCCCCAGCCGCTCTGGGCCTCTGGGCAGCGTGGGAAGGCAGAAAGGCTGCTCCAGCTGGAGTGAAGGCAGTGCCGGCAGCCAGGGGAAGGAAGGCCCATTCTTTCACGAATCTTTGTGCATCGGGCCTCTAGTAGCCACATAAAAATAAATCTATTTATATCAATGCCATGTTTCTCACAATGTATAAGTAACCCTACACTTGTAGTCTCATTGACTTGTCTTCTCAGTCATAATACTAGTAATGGCCTTGGAACCTGACTTGGCGAATAATTGATATAAGAGAAAAGATAATTATTATTCAAGAAGTTTTTGGAATCCTGAAAATAGGGCATAAGTAGAAGAGTCTGTTGAGGATATAGTATGGATAAAAATTATCAAATAGTAACATGCATCTTTGCAAGTGTACAATACAATGAAATGGATAAGATGCCTATAAAAAGGACTTGTATG